TCTGCCCCCTGGTGGTCAGTGCATGTCATAGCGAACAGTTGAGCGGCTTTAGCATATCATTAGCTAAATGATTGGTTGAACGGCCAACTGGACGACAGGACACTTAGCATCTTAGGCTTTTATTATATAGGATCATCTTAAGAGAGAATCCATCAGCTTAGCAGCAGGCTGCCTACAGGCCTGTGGCTCACACAGAATCTCAGGAATCCCTATTTTCTGCGACTGTGGAGAGTTACAGAGAGGCTTTGAACAATAACTCAGGACGTTATGTGTTTGTTGGAGACTGGGGCACATGGCTGATGCTTACTCTTTGGGGACGGTCCATTGCTGTGCAGAAATGATCGGCTCTGGAAAAAGGAATCCAGACCTGGCGTAGCAGCCAAGTGATTTTTCACAGGTTGCTCACCTGCCCCAGCACCATTTCCCTTCTGAACAATAAATACCGCCCGTGTTACACCTGCCATGAGGTCAGATGACACAACTTAGGGGCAAACGCTCTGTAACTGTGACTCACTCTGTATTATTACTATTACATTGGTCACAGTAAGGTAAATGTAACATATTCAGAACATAAATATTGGCATATTTACTATGATAAGAAAAACATTCCATGTGGCTTCCTCATATTAACAAAATATATTTTTAACAACCCACAGGTGAAGTTTACCCAAGGAAGCACCCACAAATTCTCTAAGCTTTTTCCTTTCCCTGTTCAAGCTGAAGTCCTGCGATCAGTGTTGTCCACTGGCCTCTACTGCTCATAGCTCTCCTGGCTCAGCCGGCTGGTTCCACTAAGACTTCGTTTTCATGAACTTCCCCCTGGATGCTGCGGGGCACATGCCGAAGCCGCTGTGGGAGGAGCGAAGGGTCCGTGCCCCTCGTCCCCCTGTGGGGACAAACAGCACAGAGAGGGAGCGAGCTCACGTCCACTGCTGAGCAGAGAAGCCTACGGACACTGGAGACAGCAGCCATTTCAACAAGCCCTGCGATCAGACGTTTTAAATACTCCACGCTTAGAGCTTGTAGCTGACAAGGCCTTTTTGAATTATATTACGTTACAAACATTTCATTTTTCAAAGTCCACGCAGAAGCCAGCAAGCCCAGGGGGACTGTTAGTCAGGAAAGGCAGTTCTGCGGATCCCAGCTCCCGGTCGGAGCCCACGGAGACCACATCTGGATGCATGCAATCCGGTCATGATGTGTGTGTCCAAGGTTCCCGCCCCGCCCGCAGCGGGCGCCCACTCCGGCCCGTTCTCTCTTCCCGGGGCCGGCACAGGCCTGGCCGTGGCCTGAGCTCCCTCCTCAGCACAGGCAAGGGGCCAACGTGTTCAGAGCCCAGGTGGGCACACAAGCATGAGTTATTTGTGAAAAAATACAGCATGCTAACTTCAATTAGTTTAAACGGAAGGATGAGATAATGAGAACATTAAATGCAAAGAACATTTAAACACTAAATGCAAAATGGTAGGGCTGGAAGGGATCCAGGGAGGGCATCTAGGTGGGAGGGCTGCTTACCCGGGGTTTAGCACTTAGTACTTTTAAAATCAAACCTAACAGTAAGGGGATATTTATAGTTGGTACCAGAGACACTATGCGAACTACTTAACAGGCATCAGCCCATGGCATTCCATAAGGATGCTGTGAGGTCGGCACTGTTAACACAACCACGTGTCGGACTGTGAAACTGAAGCTTAGAAAAGCTAATAAACATGCTCAGGTTTGCAGAAATACAAAGTGCAGCCGGGACTCAAACTTGGGCCGTTCCTCCAGGGCCCCAGTTCTCAACCAGGACTTCCGTCTTCAGTGTGCCTGCCGTCACCCAGACGTGTGGACTCAGACCACCCCCACTCCCCCCAGATATGCTGAGGGGACTGATCTGGGAGGGTCCCTGATGGGCATTTCTCACAGGCTTCAGCCAACGCTGCTGCCGGTCCTACAGGCTTTCCAGGGCCCCTGAAAATGCTCAGTTTTGGCATTTTCCAGGGAAACGCCTTAACCAGATACAGGACTCAAAAAGGTGAAGGACCACTGGCCTGGTAGGAGGTTTCCCTGAAACTGAGGACCCGAGAGGAGGGCCTCATGGGGAGGACCTTGGTCTGGCCGAGCGAAGCCCACGCCCTGGTCCCTCCACGCTGGCCTAAGCCCACATCGCAAACCAGTTCCGCAACCATGGCCCACAGGCTAGCAGCCGGTTTTGTAAATAAAGTTTTATTGGAACTAGGACTGGAATGGGGTTGGGGCAGTGATTGTCCATCTTTTTCATCTCCTGGCACACACAAACTAACTGCTAAAATTCTGCAGCCCACCAAAAAATATATTTTTTACCAATCTGACAAAAAAATAGGTATAATTTTGGTTCATTCACACAGGACGGCCATGGTTGTGTTGGCTCTTTTCATCTTTTTATTTGACAAACTAAGGGAAAGGAAGTCAGTGCCCCTGACTAATTCGTCAGGCATTGCATGTTTTAAAATTTCTCCTAGCACATGGGTTGAAAATAACTGGGTTAGAGTGAGTAAGTCAGAGTCAATTCCTGTCTTTATTTAAAATTCTGATATGATGTTCATGAATTGTTTTAATTGACTTTGCTTTAAAAAAATACTCCATTAAAATATCATGTGTCTTAATTACCGCGTTTTTTGCAGCCCTTTAAATTTTGCACCTAGATGAATGCCTCCCTTGCCTCACCCTAGCCTTGGCCCTAGAACTTTCTGCCAGTCCCCCAAATGCACAGGAACAAATACCTATTTCTCAAGATGCTCAAAGGTCCCACAAGCAGGGCCCAAGTGTGGCTCGCCAGCTGGAAGGTGAGCGATGTGTGTCTGGGCTCTGGTTCTAGGGTCACGCTAGATCCAAGAGGGGTTCTGTGATCTGACACAGCCTGTCATAGGTTCACCATCACTGCGCTAGATCCAAGAGGGGTTCTGTGATCTGACACAGCCAGATACACAAGCATAGTAAAAATCACCACTTACCTCTTCTTCCCTCTCCGGGCCTATGAAACTCTAAAAGGCGGGATTTAAAGCCCCACAGATTCCTAGGCCAGGCTTGTGTTCTTCTGCCCAAGCCCCCGAGCAGGAAAAACCCAGCACCAGGGGCAGGGCTCAGGGCACCCGGCCTTACCTTGAAAGAGCATCGTCTGGCTGAAGTCGCTGCGCATGTCGTTCCGGCACACGGCCTGGACGCGGAACAGGTAAAGGCTATCAGGTGAGACATGGCTAATGGTGGCTTTCTGTAGGTGAAGAAAGAAGAGCAGTGAGCAGGTGTGGAGGCCAGCACACACCCACCTTCTAAGCCAAACCTAAAGTAATGTTAAGAACCACGTTCAGGTTTGTGTTGCCACGGAAACACCTGCTGGACACGATGCTCCCATGGACCAAAGGCTCCCTCTGGAAGGGAAGAGTGGTCAGAGAGAACCTGGCCTAGGAATCTGCTTCCAACACTGAAATGTGCAGGATAAGACGGAACCAAATCAGTCTGGACCCCGATGCTTAACTGAGGCTCGGACTGTGTCTTAGGCCCCCTTTATACTCACGAGTCTTGGACTCCTTCCATCACTAATATCCCTTATAGACTGCCATTATTTACCCGAGACGGCCTCTCAAATCACCAAGTGGACTGCTTTCCAGAGCCAGGCAGAGTTTAAACATCTGCAACAAGATCTCTGCATGTCTGTCTTTGCAGTGTTACGGTCTTGTCATACATTCTCCATGGGTAATATGGGGCAAGATGCCAGAAAGGACACCTGGCTAACGGTCAGGAAAGGTGAGATGCAGCCTTTTCACCCACTCACAGGCTGAACCTGGGCCAGGTGCTCAGTCTTTGGCCTCTGCTGCCCTCCTGTGTAAAATGGGAGAGAAACAGCGACCTCACAGGGTCCTTGTGAAAGCAAGGTGACGCAGGCCAGGCAAACCTGTTCATACGTAGCCCCCACCACACCACTGAAAGAATGGCCCTGGTCTAACACAGGGCCAGCCAGCTCCAGCTCACAGGCCAAATCTGGCCCCCTGTCTGTTTTTGTCAATAAAGTTTTATTGGCACACAGCCACGCCCATTCCTTTACATGTACCTACGGTGGTATCTACAATGACAGGGTTGAGTTGTTGCCACAGCAACCTTATGTCCCATAAACCCTAAAATCTTTACAACCTGGCTCTTTCTAGAAAACGTTTGCCAATCCCTAGTCATTAGACACCTGCCAAATCCAGGTCCCCATTCCTCAGAGCTTTATTCTCAGGGCCTTTAAAAATGAGAAAAGAGAAAGTACCTGAAAAGCAGACAGTGCTTGCTTTGTGAAGAAACAAACAAAAAAAGCAACTGAGTCCAAAGACTTCCCTAATGGATGAATGTCTTGCCACTGAAATGTGGGTTCTGGGCTGAGTATGAAAAGCAGCCTTGGAGCTTAACCGCTGGGCGGGTTTCCCGTTGCAGCCACCGAAACCTCTGACCGGGCGTTAAGTGGTACCGTGGCCACACCTGCTGCTGCGGCCTAGCCCCCGGCTCCTGTGAGGGCAGCAGGTGACGTCCCCTTAGTGAACGGTAAGCCTCATGTATGTATCTCTTTTGGAGAAGGTTAACGGTAACATCCGCCCCCAGGCCTGTAGGAGGATGGGGAAGAGGCACGTGACCTGGAAAAGGCCGCACTGACCTTACATATTCCTCTGAGGTTTCCAGGCCACAGCAACCATCCGTTGGAGAACAGTTTTGTTGCTGCTAAGTCAGCACACTTGGCTTCCCAAGGAATTAAGAAAATTAATCTTGTGTGTCCCCAAAGAAACTAGCCACCCCTAGGAATTCTCAGGGGGAAAAAAAAAAGACCTTGCAATTAGAGCATATTTTTCTCTGCATCGCTCTCTTTCTCTGAACCCAATTCACGCCTCTTCCTCCAAACCTCTGACCCAGGCTCCTGTTCAGGGCAAAGTCCCCGCTCCACCGACACAGGGATTTACTGGATTCACGCCAAGCCAGTATCTATTCATCTTCGCGTGCTTAATTATTTTTCACTTAGAACAAGACCCGCCTGAGCGCCTACGCAGCTTCTGCTGATTAATGCAGCCATCGTTACTTCAGAGAGAAAACCCCTCGTGGGTTCCCAGCGGCGACAAGAGGAAGGTCAAAACACATCACAACCTCGGGGAACTTCCGGTAGGTTCCTCTCTGATTTCACGAAGCTCCTCGTCCCCTAATGGGACCCAGATAACTATGTCTAGTGGGGAAATTGAAAATATAAGTGAAAATGAAGAAAAAGAATCTTCATCTAAAGGAATACGCCAGGTTTTATTCTATCACTGATGGAATGGGCCCCGGGGACTCCGTGCTGGGAGAAGAAGTGGGAATGATCATTAAGAATCCCACTCGGTGCGACTGCATTTGCCACGTGCACACACAGTTACGGATTTCATTCTTCCAGAGCCTGCCTTTGATTAACAATGAAAGCAGAGGCGCTCCAATCCGACTGCGTCACGTTGAGTTTCTCTGCAGAGACGTGAAGACTAGTGCTCGCTGGAGGCTTTGCTTTCACAGGGGAGGAAGAGCGGCCACCAACATCTGCTCCGAAGGGCTTTGCTGGGGTGTTGGCCACTAAACATTTATGCACGTTTTACGGAGAGTGTGGAACTGTGCATGGAGCTCACGGTGAGGTCAGATGCCAGAGTGTCTGAGAGACCGAGAACAGTGGCTAAACATGACATGGTCCCAGGGATCCCCCAGGTAGGAAGGTGAGGGGATCCGATGGGAAGGGGAGTGCGGGCAGTGGGCAGTGCATGGTGGCGGTGACAGTGGGAAAGAGCAAGAGGAGGAAGAGCTGCAGCAATATCAGCGGGTCCTTCCACACTGCTTCCCGTGCCAGAGTCTGCTGCACATGCACACAGCATCTCACATCCACAAAACCCTGTCAGATGAAAAGGCCTTAACAGAGCTTTCTGTTTCTATAGAATGAAAGACAGAGGAGTCCGTTTAAAGGGCCCAATTATAAAAAAAAGGAACTAGTTTTCCGGGTGGCGTTGGGGGGTGAGTGTGAGGGCGGATGGGGCCCAGGCAGGCTCGGCCACGGTCCACACCGGAGCTACTGCCCTGCAGCAGCGTGAGGCCGGGACCTGCCTGCAGTGCCTGGCAGAGATGCGGCGGGAGTCCCTCTCCTCACTGCAAGGGCAGCAGGCACCCCGACTTTTACCAGGTCTTTGTCGCTGTCCTTCGTGAAGGTCTTCTCCTTCTCGTCCTCGTTCTTGGTCCAGCTGTAGGAGATCATGTAGTTCATGATGGGCGGGTGGTAGATGGTCTCGGGCTGGCTCCAGGACACCTGCAGCGCCGTCTGGTTCAGGGGCTGCACCTTCATGTGGATGGGCGGGGAGCTGCAGACTGAAGACAGACGGCAAACTCAGTGGGCTCCGGGACACCACACCCCTCACTGGCCCGCCCTGTGTTCCCAGAGCCCAGGCCCGGAAACCTGACAGAGCAGCACACACAGCACCCCACTCCCGTCACCTGAACCTGCCCTCAACATTTTGCCACATCTCTCCTCCCTCTCTCTTTCTTTCTTTTTTAAAAATTATTATTATTATTTTAAAATCTTCACCTGAGGATATTTTGCCATTGATTTTTTGTAGAGAGAGAGTGGAAGAGAGAGGGAAAGACAGAAATATTGATGTGAGAGAAACACAATGATTGGTTGCCTCCTGCATGAGCCCTGACCAGGGTCTGGACTGGGGAGGAGCCTGCAACAAAGATACGTGACCTTGACTGGACTTGAACCCAGGACCCTTTAGTCTGCAGGCCAACGCTCTATCCACTGAGCCAAACCAGCTAGGGCTCCCTCCCTCTTTTGACACACACAATCACACACACACACACACAATCACACACACACAATCACATACACACACACAATCACACACACACAATCACATACACACACACAATCACACACACACAATCACATACACACACACAATCACACACACACAATCACATACACACACACAATCACACACACACAATCACATACACACAATTGATGTGAGAGAAACACAATGATTGGTTGCCTCCTGCATGAGCCCTGACCAGGGTCTGGACTGGGGAGGAGCCTGCAACAAAGATACATGACCTTGACTGGACTTGAACCCAGGACCCTTTAGTCTGCAGGCCAACGCTCTATCCACTGAGCCAAACCAGCTAGGGCTCCCTCCCTCTTTCAACACACACAATCACACACACACAATCACACACACACACTCACATACACACACACAATCACACACACACAATCACATACACACACACAATCACACACACACAATCACATACACACACACAATCACACACACACAATCACATACACACACACAATCACACACACACAATCACATACACACACACAATCACACACACACAATCACATACACACACACAATCACACACACACAATCACATACACACACACAATCACACAACCACACACACACAATCACAATCACACACACACAATCACACTCACACACACACACAATCACACACACACACACACACACACACACACACACACACACACACACACACACACACACACACACACACACACACACACACACACACACACACACACACACACACACACACACACACACACACACACACACACACACACACACACACACACACACACACACACACACACACACACACACACACACACACACACACACACACACACACACACACAATCACACACAATCATACACACACACACAATCACATACACACACACAATCACACACACACACAATCACAATCACACACACACACACACACACACACACAATCACACATACAACTGTTTTCCTGCGAAGGCATCATAAGCGAGTTGCAGATTCCCTGACACTTCACTCCTTCATAGCCCACCCTGCCTCTCCTAAGACTAAGGACATTCCCCATCTGATTGCAAGAGACCGAGTGTTTTGTGCCCCCAAATTCAAGTTGAAACCTAATCCAAATGTGGTGGCACTGGGAGGTGGGGCTTTGTAAAGTGATTAGGTCATGAGGGTGGAGCCCTCATGTGTGGGATTAGTGTCCTTATAAAGAGGTCCCAGCGAGCTCCCCGCCCTTCTCGGGAGGACACAGTGAGGACGCAGCACTATGCACCAGGAGGTGGGCTCTCACCGGACAGGGCACCTGCGGGGTCTGATCTTGGACTTCCCAGCCTCCGGGAGCCTGAGAAACAAATTTCTGTTGTTTGTAAGCCACCCAGCCCATAGGAGTTTGTTACAGCAACCTGAGCGAAGACAAAACCCTAGAACCACGATCATGCCTAAGAACATAAACAGTAATTCAATAGTACTATCTGATGCACAGCCCGTATTCAAACTTCCCCAATCGTCTCCAAAAGATTGTTTATAGCCATGTCCCCCTTACCAGAGTTGCATTTCATTATATAAGGCTTTAGTCTCTTTTTAAAAAATTTATTTATTTATTGTTTTATCCTCACCTGAGGACATTTTCATTGACTTTTTAGAGAGAGAGGAAGGAAGAGAGAGAGAGAGGGAAGAGAGAGAGAGAGAGGGAGAGAGAGAGAGAGAAACATCTATGTGAGAGAGAAGCATTGATAGGTTGCCTGGACTGAACCTACAACCTAGGTATATGCTCTGACCAGGAGTCAAACCCACAAGCTTCCGATGTACGAGACGATGCTCTGACCCACTGAGCCACTGGCCAGGGCAGCTTTTTCAGCCTCTTTTAATCTAGCATAGTCACCTGATCTTTTCCCCTTGATGACTTTTTTATAGAAACCAGGCCATTGGACCTGTGGGGTACCCCAACCAACTAAAATTGTAGATCAAACACCACTGTAAGCATATCAGAGGGAATAAATTTAAAATGAGACGTTAAATAAGTTTAAAGCAAAGGCGCGCACACACACACACACACACACACACACTGGCTGGCCCAGCAGGACCTCATGGAATAGTTCCCCAACGTGGGCACAGGAAAGCCAGGCTCACCCCCCTTCCTCTTCCCTGTGGCGCAGGTTTGAAGGGACACGGGTTCTGTGTCCACCTACCAAAGGGCTGAGCTATCAAGTCAGCCTTTAATAGCGACGTTTTAGTTCCAAGTGTGCGCTTTCCCAGCCCCTGGGGTTCCTGCTGCCACTGGGCTCGGAGTCGGGGCCATGTCTCTCAACCTTGGGACTATTGATATTTGGGCCAGATACTGTTTGCTCTTGGGGCCTGACACCGTAGGGCAGGGGTCCTCAAACTACGGCCTGCGGGCCACATGCAAATACAAATATTGTATTTGTTCCCGTTTTGTTTTTTTACTTCAAAATAAGATATGTGCAGTGTGCATAGGAATTCGTTCATAGTTTTTTTTCAAACTATAGTCCGGCCCTCCAACGGTCTGAGGGACAGTGAACTGGCCCCCTGTTTAAAAAGTTTGAGGACCCCTGGTGTAGATCAAAACCTGGGTTTTCTTCACATCCAGTAAAAGGGCAGAGGAAGAATCGATTTTAAGAAAAGTATAGCAGAAACTCACCCAACGATCCAAGAGGAAAAGGAAGCGTGTCATGTATCTGGTCCACCCTGGCTTCTGGAAAGGCTAGAGATATAGGCCACGTGAGTGGGCCCACCTCTTAATGATCTCACGATGTCTCATGCAGGTTACCAAGATGCCAGGGATGCAGAGCACTTGGCATCAAACAGAATCCGATGCAGGGCCTGTCTAACTGAGTAACCATTGAGCCCGCTGGTTCCCTCAACAAATAAACTCCAGATCTGCTATTTCCACATTTACTTTTTTACCTGAAGGTCTGCAAGATAATAATCGTTAATCCTTCTCTTTTTTTCTGCCTGACCCCTACCCCTGCCCACCCTAGTCTTGCTATTCCCTATACTTCGAAAGCTCTTTCCCCAGATACCTCACTTCAAAATAAGATATGTGCAGTGTGCATAGGAATTCATTCATAGTTTTTTTTAAAACTATAGTCCGACCCTCCAACGGTCTGAGGGACAGTGAACTGGCCCCTGTTTAAAAAGTGTGAGGACCCCTGCCGTAGGGTGTTTAGCAGCATCCTTGGCCTCCACTCATTACATGCCTTTAGCACCACCCCCCCAAATTATAACAATCAATAATGCCCCCAGTAATGCCAAATGTCCCCGGGGCAGGGGGTGGGGGTGGGCAATTACCCCCGGCTGAGAACCAGTGGTCTAAATGGGGAGATGGGGGTCCCCAAAGGATCCCACCTGTGGAGCTGATATTCCTTCCTGGATGGGAGGACGGAGGGGAGGAGAGGCACTCAGTACTGTCCAAGCTCAGCGTGGAGGCGTGGACCCAGCTATGGGCCTGGGGAAGACTGCGGAAGGCACCCTGGGAGCTGAGTCAGGGGGAGAGAGGAGGGCAGGCCCAGGGACCACGGAAGGGAGGGGCCTGGGGACTGAGGGAAGCCAGGCCTGGGCCAAGGCTCAGAGAAAGAGGCGGGAGGAAACCGGGCAGCTCAGTGGTAGCCGCAGAGGCCCAGCTGAAACGTCCGGTCTTCATCCTAAGAGCACCCAGAAGCCACGGGAAAGACGTGAACAGAGAAGGACACAGGCGGGTTTGCACTTTGCAGAGATCCCTCGAGCTTCAGCTGAGCCGGAATCTGGGGGACTGGAGTGAGGAGGGAGCCGGGGAGCAGGTGCTGCCGGCTGCTCGCTGCTGGAGACCAGGGAGGGAGGATGAAGAACTGCGGTTCTAGAGCGAATGGTTAGAGTGAGGATGGCACTGGGGGCGGGAAGGGTGGTTGAGGGGAGGAGGTAAGCCAGAGGGACCGTGATGTGGCTGTGGTGTCTCCCAGGAGCCCACCATAGCCAGCTTCCCCTAGAACCCTGAGCCCCAGGCCGCCCCAGGGAGCAGGACGGCGTCCCCGCCGGAGGCACCGGCCCTGCTGTGAGGAGCTGGCCGCTGGAGAAAAGAGGACATCGGTTCTGACAGGGAGGCATCCGCTCGCTCTTCAATGCCAAATCACGCTGCAGCCGAGAGCTCTGCTTTGTGGCTGCGACAGGAGGAAGGATAAATTAATGAGGCATCCCCACTGCCCCAGAGAACCCTGGGGGCATCGCGCCGCCTGCCACACAAATGCCACCGGAGCAGGGACATCAAACAAAGAGTGTGAGCGAAGGCTCCACAGAGACGAGGCTGAGTGGCAGCGTGGACACTAGGTGGCGCTGACATACCGTTCAAATACCCCAACCTTCAAGTTTCTCAGGAAGGCAGAGCAGGGGAAAGTCAGGAAAAGACCTGCACATGCCAATAATGAACCAAGATTGATATACTGGGAGCTCCGGTTCCTTGCAGTGACGACCATGTCAGAACCCTGACTTCTGCATCTTCTC